TCTGTAGATTTCATTGCCCCTATCACCTGTCATATTTAGTATGGTGGTGTCGAAGGGAAATCCAACTCTTGGTTTTCATGCGGTTCAGTGCGGGCATGGACGTTATCAAGAGTACATAACCCCCCAGAGTGTGCAACTCCCACATACCCTGCTGTCCCGGCAGAATTTCAAGTTGACGTCATTATTTATGACGCAAAGCTCCTTGCACCAGTGATTTACAACATGACGGGTGTCAACGCATCACACGTTTTTCTTTGCAATAATTTGCACAGGATCAGATCGGCTTCGGTCCACCACAGGTTCCGGATTCGTCTGATAATCCGTGTACAGTGCGCATTGCATCATCAAAATGACGTCAACTTGAAATTATGTCGGGACAGCACCCATAGTCGAGTTGCACACTCTGGGGGGGTTATGTACTCTTGACGTTATGTGCTGGATATGAGTTACTGCCACTGCTTGCGTTGGTGCACACATGTCACCGGCGGGTGCGGCTGTGGGCCTGCCTGCCTGCCTGCCTGCGTGCCTGCCTGCCTGATTACCCTGTCTGACCGTCCAGCCGCGTGCGTGTCTCGTGTTCTTGTGTCAAGGTGCCTGTCCTCGCTCCTAACAAGAGTACATAACTGCTGCGGGTTATGTACTCTTGTTCCTACTCCTCAAGTACTGTATCTCTTGTTCCTTATCATCACGTTCTATAAAAGTACCGTAAACCGCCCAGTATTTGTGGCACTAAATTTTTTATTTCTAAGAACCAGCGGCAATTTTTGGAGGAGCACTGTGGCCGCGAGAACATTAGACAGTTACCAGTAGCCCGCTCTGGAGGGACGTCTTCCTAGTATCACAGACAAATTTAAGGTACAGGCAGGTCTGGCTTTCACCTTTAAAGCATGCATGACCAAAGTTGTTACTGTAAAGTACCGCCAGAGCGCCCTGTCTCGCGAAAGCTTCCCACCTTGATTTTAAAGCAAAGGGAAAGGAATATCGTATGACAGATTGCAACGAAGTTTGTACGGTATGAGAACCTTGGTGTACAAGGTCACACTTAGCAGGTTTTTTTGTGTGGAGCTCGTACCCGCTCGAAGGTATATTGAGTACGGATTGACTGCACAATGTGCAATATGTGTACACGGTTCGTGTGGTATGACCTACAGACAGGATACCACCTCCACACTACGACCACGAAAGGACGAGATGGTGGGGCGCTCTCGCTGTACATTACCATAGTTACAGGCAGGGAGGGAGTTGTTTATACAACTCACTGGTTACCATGGCTACAGGGAGAGAGGAGAGTGCTGACTCTTTTCAGCTGACCCTGTAGCGGTGTAGTGACCCTGTTACTGTAGCGGTGTACTGGCCCTGTAGCGGTGTACTGGCCCTATAGCGGTGCACTCGCTTTAGCACTCGTTGGAGCTGGCCCTGTACCTGTTCACTGGGCCTGGTTGTGCTAGAGCACAGCGGTGTGCAGTGCAACCGTCTCTCAATTGTTGTGCAGCTGCACATACCGGTGCAAGTGTGTATCCACTGGATCACAATCCAGTCGACTCCACTTACAACAAACTCGCATAATAGTGCCATAGCGAACTGTTGTCCATGTCCCAGTTTGAACCCAGAGACTGAGTGTAAGTGCATTCCTGTTGCATGTACCTGTATAACGAACTTTGGCTATAACGAACTAGTTCTCTTGCTCGATGGTGTTCGTTATGTCAGGAATCGACTGTACAAGTTACTTAGCATAAGTATAGCCTTCCTTTAGCACCAGGGAGGCATATGTTATACCGGTACATGTAATGTTTTGCTTCCCCCTTCTTAGAACTCTGCATGCCATGATAATGACAACCTTGCATGCCATGATACGACAGCCTTGCATGCAAGCATGCATGCAGTGGAGGCTGCACACTCAATCATTCTGGTTTTCATGTTCATGTACATGTACTAGCTCAGCCCGATCTTGGTCAGGAGATGATGCCATTGTGCGTTGTGGGTACCAATCAAGAGTAGGTGCACCCCTCCCCCGAGTCCTCCCCCCAACACGCATATGCATAGACTCCTAGACCCACACATGCACCACCCCCACACGCACAGAGCACTTCATCCACACAAAAACCTTGTTTCAATCTAACCTACAAACAGTGTATAGAGCTACAGGTATATTAGAGCTACAGGTCTCGAAACGGCCCTAAGGAGAACTCATAGTGCTAACAGAAAATGCGAGTATTCAACTAAAATAGATAGCAGCACGCTACTGCGGAACGTAATAGACGTTGGACGTTTAAAAAAAGGTTTCTTTACTCACAAAGACATGGGAATGACACACACACACACACGCACAAACACACGCACGTGTGCAAGCACATGCCCAGACTTTCGGAAGAATTGACCATACAGGAACCGTTGCCAGTGATGGTCAGAATAAGATGCTCCAACACAGGGAAGCCACGCCATGAATAGGGGAATGTTATATATACACACACAGACTCACACAAATCTACATACGGATAAACATACGGATAAACATACGGATAAATATACGGATAAACATGCACACGTGCACGCACACACGCACGCGCACACACACACGCACACACCAGCAGACGGCAGTTATCACGTGGGCATGGAGGAGGAAAACAGGTTGTCGGTGGCGTGACACAGCTGATCAAGGCGCTTCACAAGTGACGCACGTTGAGTAAGAGCGTTGTACGCCGCATCACGCTCCTTTCGTGCCAGCGGCTTCTTACGTTGCTTGCTCACCTGTAACAAGTGCAAAAAAGAAGACAAACGTGGGGGGGGGGGGAAAGAAAGATTAGTGAAAAAACGAGACTTTCAATCTTGCAGAAAGAGACCCAAGCACACGCACCTTCAATATCCATCAAGGGGAGTGTGTGTGTGCGCGCGCGCGCGCGCGTGTGTGTGTGTGTACGTGTGTGTGTGTGTGTGTGTGTGTGTGTGTGTGTTGGTGTGTGTGTATGTTGGTGTGTGTGTATGTGTGTGCGTGCGTGCGTGCGTGTGTATAACGGCCAACACAAACACCAGACCTAGAGAGACGTTAAAGCCATGGATACTTACCGTCACTTTCTTCAGGCTATCAATGAGTTCACTATCAATCTTGCGCACTTTCTCCTGCAGTAGCTGTTTCTCAAGCTCCATCTCAGCACGCTGTAGCAAGGCATGCTTCAGCTGACGATTGTACTCAGACTGTGCACGCACAAATAGTGCACACCACCATGGACAAACACGCATGCACACGCGAGTGCACACACACGCACATATACATACATGTAGGCATGTGCATGCATACGCGCGTGCACACACAAAACACACACACACACACACACAGAAACACAGGTGTTCATGAAACATTCCTCCTGGGAAATTCCTGAGCAAAACAAAATCCCAGTGCATGTGGTGCACTTGTGAATTCAACAACCATTGTAGTGACGGGTGGCAGTGCGTGTTTGCGACAGACTTACCACTGCTTTGAGCTCACTCTGGCGCTTGCGTAGCTCGGCTAGCACCTCGTCTTCTTCGTCTTCTGGCGCTACAACCTACACATGTACATGTACATGCACATGTACATACACACGCACACAGCAGGCACACCGAGTAAAGGCAGGAAAATGGCATGTTACGACAAGTGCCCTGATGATGAGCAAATGGCCGAAATATCGGCAATACTTTCATTTATTACATGATTTTGGAATATTCTCCGGAATGTGGGGCAGGAGGAAAAAAAGGAGTTGAATTTTTGGAAGCAGGGTGGCAAACGCGTACTTCTTTTAAAGTATGCTTTCCCGGAAGTATACTTTTGGGTTCTCTGTTCGGGCGCTTTTTGATGACCAGGGAATGCTGAGGTGCTGCGGGTACTTTGCTGCTTTCTGAAGCTAACCACGCCATGTCATCTCTTTCTTCTCCTCATCCTCAGTCTTCCATTTGATATTTGTGCTAGTGATACCATACACTGACTTGTATGCACACGTGACCATTCTTTTTTTTCTCCATTTGAATGTGTTGCGTTCCTGTGTTTCCTTTCTGTTCTCACATTTCGTTGAGCTTGAGAAAATATATTGCGTCAAGCAGTAATAGTAGTCGTGTATCAGCTGCTCTGCCCTCTGCCCTATCAGCTGCTCTGCCCTCTGTCTTCTGCTCTGTCCTCTGTCCTCTTCTCTGTCCTCTGCTCTGTCCTCTGCTCTGTCCTCTGTTCTAGCATCACCAAGTCCTCGTCTTCCACTGGACGACAGTCCCAAATTCGTTTTCAATCGACCTTTCCATTTAGTAGATTTACACATGGCCTAGACCAGTCTCAGGCACTCGCTCGTTTCGTCAAATCATTCCTTTGTTTGTTTGCTAATGTAGAAGGCGCAGCAGCAAGACTATCATACTCTAACCCAGATTAGCCAAGCCCTGAAAGATTGCAATAAGCCGATCAAGCATCCGTGAAGATACAAGTGCCTGCAATGCTGACAAGAACCTAGGCATTAATTTGTTGATGTCATCTTCATTAATCAATAGCAGGGCTGCCACTTGCTCCGATTTTTCGGAAATCGTTTTTGATCGCCTGTCGGACAAACCGACCGATTTTGTTCCCAAAGAGGGACAACCGATTATTTTATTTTGAGCGCTTTTTAGTCCAGTTGGCCCTTCGGCGCTTCAAGTCCAGGTCGCGTTTGGCCAGTCATTGTACATGTACATGTAGCTGTAAAATGCACGCGTGCTTGCATGTGTGTGGACAGTTAAAAATGTGTTCTGGGGCCCCAACAGCAAGCCATTTTCCTAAACATTTTCACCGGGGGACACGACTGCCGTCAGATTTTTCTCCCTCCAGGTGTGGCAGCCCTGCAATAGTACAGTGTAGTTGTAGATTGTTCTTGTGACCAGACGACGCTTACAGACACCAGCACGAACACTGGTCTCGCCTGGTCACAAGAAACATCTTCCGCTACTAACCTAGACACTGCTGTTCTGAACAAGAAGAGTTGCATTAGTGCCCCACTCTCCCAGAGTACAATCTGCTGCCCAGAGGTCTGCGGGTAAGTACTACAATGTACAATGTCAGGGCTCACTGCACAGCGAGTAGATTTCATTGAGCAGCACTACACAGCACTACACAGCACAGCACTACACAGCACAGCACTGCACACCACAGCACCACACTGCACTACACAGCACTACACTGCACACCACAGCACCACACTGCACAGCACAGCACTGCACTACACAGCACAGCACAGCACTACACAGCACAGCACTGCACGGCACTACACTGCACAGCACAGAACTACACTGCACAGCACTGCACAGCACAGCACAGCACTGCACAGCACAGCACAGCACAGCACAGCACTACACAGCACTGCACAGCACAGCACAGCACAGCACAGCACAGCACAGCACAGCACAGCACAGCACAGCACAGCACAGCACAGCACTGCACAGCACTGCACAGCACTGCACAGCACAGCACAGCACTGCATAGCACAGCACAGCACTGCACGGCACGGCACAGCACAGCACTACACTGCACAGCACAGCACAGCACTGCACAGCACAGCACAGCACTGCACAGCACAGCACAGCACTGCATAGCACTAGTGGCACAAGCTCAAGGGACGACACACATACCTCATCCGCCTCCATTAATCCGAGGTGGATAAGCTGCTCGTGGATACGCGATTCCAGTAACTTTGCGTTTGTCACTACCCAGTTGCGCTGCTGCTGCTGCTGCTGCTGATCCGGAACATGGTGTGGACTGTGCTTGGGGCTGTGCTTCTTATCCTGAAGCACAATGCATGTACACACAACCACACACACACACACACCCACACACACCCCCACACACACCCCCCCACACACACACCCACACACCCACACACCCAAGCAATTAGCACACCATCTAGCAAATAACCATGTTACTACATGTACTACACTACACGATATCACTACAGAACGTTTCAGCAACAATAACAGGACACAGTTTTTTCTTTCTTCTCTTGACGCGAAGAGCGCACACCTCCAGATACAAAGAGCGCAGCACGGCAAACGAGAAGCAAATGTGCAATATACTGTGTGCCCTGTTCTGTCCAATCGTAGTTGACTGATAAGTTTATAATTCCACTGGTGAATGTGACATGAAAATCGATATTGGAAACCTTCACAACTTCTTTGTTGTGCGGCGATGATGGCAGAATTTGTTCTTTTTACTGCTATTTAAAAAATGCTTTTCTCCAGTACAGTCAACTTCGCTAATAACGACTTCGGATATAACGACAATTCGCGAATAACGACAGAATTTCTATGCCCAGAGCAAAGTCCCATCTGACTGTATACATTTAACTTCGGATATAACGACTATCTGAATAACGACAATTCGCGAATAGCGACATGATTTTTGTGCCCCGAGGTCATATTTGTCGTGTCCGTGTGTTTCTATCTGTATTGTATTCCGTCTGCTCCTACATGTATCTTTGTCAAGTGTTTGCCGTGGCGTCGATGTGTCTCGTCTATGAATAGCGTTGGGAAACTTATCACTATTCATGCTTTGCTGGCTGGCTGCTCGCGCCCTTCGCTCCTTCAGCTTGCACGGTACTAGGACATAATAGCAGTATATAGCTCGATGCTTTGCTTCGAGAGGTTGTTGTTGTGCTTGTTGCTTCTCTGGTGTTCGTGCTTGGAACTTGGTCCTAGAGTGAAGCTTTGGTCTTCTTGTGTGGTGAGGGTGAGGAATGGGTATCTGGACGCCTGGTATATTTCCGTAAAGAACCTGGAATTGTAGAATCCTGAGAGTATGTCTGGCCAACTCCCCTCCCCGGTCATGACATTTGGCGACCACGCCAGGATGTCCAGTGCCACTAACATTCCGAACCCTCGGCAGCGAGAGGGAGCGCTGCCAATAGCCATCGGCACCACACCGCAGCCCGTCCTGGGTACGACGATAAACTGCACCCTGGTGACCGCGGTTGGTCACCATCACCAACGCGTCCGTCCTGGGTACGACGATAAACTGCACCCTGGCGACCGCGGTTGGTCAACATCACCAACGCGTCCGTCCTGGGTACGACGATAAACTGCACCCTGGCGACCGCGGTTGGTCAACATCACCAACGCGTCCGTCCTGGGTACGACGATAAACTGCACCCTGGCGACCGCGGTTGGTCACCATCACCAACGCGCCCGTCCCGGAGCATGACGATAAACTGCTGGACGTAGCCAGAGCTGGAGAGGAGGTACATCGAGGAAGTCAAGATGAAGGCAACACGCAAACGGGAGCCGCGGATTTCAAGTGAAGTTAGTTCGGGTCAGTTACCAGTTCCTGGACACGTTTCTGGTCTTGTCACCCGTCTAGTCTTGATTTGTCTTATTATAATAGTTCATAATGATAGTAACACAGAAGCAATCCCTGCAGGCTGACCAATAGCTTGTTCGAACGTAGTTGTAACGGCATAACCTATTTTTCTAACACTGCTGTGGCGGAGAGTCTGTGCAAGACTGGCGCATTATGTTTTCTTTGGTTCGTGGGTCGGAAGAGGTTGGTTCCTTCCTTTCAAGTTTTCAAGAGTTTTATTATTTTGCTTTCTTTTTCAGTGCCGTTACTTTTCTTCTGTTACGAGGACGTAACATGTTCGTAGGCGGGGGATATGTCGTGTCCGTGTGTTTCTATCTGTATTGTATTCCGTCTGCTCCTACATGTATCTTTGTCAAGTGTTTGCCGTGGCGTCGATGTGTCTCGTCTATGAATAGCGTTGGGAAACTTATCACTATTCATGCTTTGCTGGCTGGCTGCTCGCGCCCTTCGCTCCTTCAGCTTGCACGGTACTAGGACATAATAGCAGTATATAGCTCGATGCTTTGCTTCGAGAGGTTGTTGTTGTGCTTGTTGCTTCTCTGGTGTTCGTGCTTGGAACTTGGTCCTAGAGTGAAGCTTTGGTCTTCTTGTGTGGTGAGGGTGAGGAATGGGTATCTGGACGCCTGGTATATTTCCGTAAAGAACCTGGAATTGTAGAATCCTGAGAGTATGTCTGGCCAACTCCCCGGTCATGACATATTCACTGCTTGAATAACGACTTTCTGGCTTTTTGACAGCTATTTCAAGTACCTGTCATGCAGAAGTACCAGAACCCGTGGCGATGGATAAGGCACACATACAAGAAGATACAGCCTGGGGGGGGGGGGGGGGGGGGGGGGCTTTTTCTTTTTTCTTTTCTTCAAAATAGTTTGAATGATCAGCACGCCTATTGTACATGTACATGTAGTTGTACATGATTGCACATTAATCTTCATACATGTACATGAACATGTCCCGGTACTTGTAGATGGCTCCAAAAGGTTAATTTTTCAATTTATTTCCCTTGGATATTGACTTTATTGTTCCTTTCAATCGCAATACGAAAATAAAGTACAAATTGACGTAGAGCATGAAAAGAGCTTCATTTCGATATGCATGTCATACTATACAAAATATGGGTTCACATACATTCAAATGGGACTTCGGATATAAGGACACTTCGCGAATAAGGACACTTTTCTTATGCCCCGCCGAATGTCGTTATTCGCAAAGTTGACTGTACTTCAGTATCTACAACATAGAGTCATGTAACTCATGTTGCTGGTCTGTGAGGTCGGCCAGCGAGCGCGTTTGCTGGAGGTGGAATTACTTATTGGTTGTCTTCACATCGATTATTTAGATAAGTTTATAAAAGACGCTTGCCCAAGTTCCAGAGCTTCCAGAGAGGACCAAGGGGCAGCAGGGTACACAGTAAGAACCAGTTGCGTCTTCGGGGGCGAAGGGGACGAAGCTTGTGGCATTGTGCAGCAGAGGTGCTTGGAGGACAACTGAATCAATCACGACCTCTCCGGAGATTAATTTCAGCAACAAAAATCTCCGGAGAGCTAACGATTGATGGTGTTGTCCTCCAAGCACCTGCGCAATGCTGCAGGCTTCTGCCCCGACAACGCGACTGGCTTCTACCTCCACCCAAGTTTGTTCTCACTGAACAGCTGAGAAAAGAGAGCATTGGTGACGTTTGCACTGCAAAGCATGAATTTCAAGCACGAATTATCACCACTCCTCCATACATCCCAATACGAAGGCCAGTGTCAACCAAAATAATAACAACGCTGTTCCAACACAACCTTCTGCGCAGTAGGGTCATGTAAGGTTAAGGAGATTGTTCTGCTGCTGCTGTTGCTGCTGTTACTACTGCTGCTGCTGCTGCTGCTGCTGCTACTGTTACTACTACTGCTGCTGCTGTTGCTGGAGGACTGCGATCCATAATTGCCTGCAAGCATGCGTTGACTTTGTATTCTTCTGTTCATCTTTCTGGATAATCGTGGATTTTTCAATAAAGTTCTTGGAGACTGCTGTAGGACATGGCAATGATTTCCGACAACCTACCGAGCTAGAGTCCTTGACGCCACTGACAGCTGACGACTGCGGCATGGCCTGCAGGTGCCGCTCCGTTTCATCACCTCCACCACCACCTCCACCACCGCTGTCGCCAGCCGTGGACGTGCTGCCGGCAGGGGAGGCAGCCTGTGTCGTTACGGCAACAGAAACATGTACAGTGTCGTTATGGCAACAGCATGCACAGTGTCGTTATGGCAGCAGCAACAAAAGCAGCAGCAGCAGCAACAACAAAATCTCTTATTGGCCACAGGCCACCGTGAGACTAAATATTTCAAACAAACACACAAACAAACAAACAAACAAACAACAACAACAACAACAACAACAAACAACAGCGGTTCTTTTGTTGATCAGAGACGAATAAGGAAACAAAGATACATAACAACACAGAACGCAATGTCCTCCCCATTTCGGCGAAGGACGCTCGACTTCTCCATTCCCGATCAATGGGGGGGGGGGGGGTATTGAACACGAGTAGGGTCACACGTAGTGCGGTAGTGGAACTCGGATAAGACATGCTTCAAGTACTCTAACATCATGAGAATAGGAAAAAAAGACTACTACAAGTACACTACGGTATGGATGAGGTACGTCTCAACCAAG